AACGCCGCTGCTCCCCTGGCCCCGCTCCCCGACTCCCTCCTTCCTCCCCTCTACCTAGCACCGGAAGCCGCGACAGCGACAAGGGCTGTGCGGCGCACCCCACCCCCAGACCGGGATACTTCCCACCTCCCCGATCGCGCGAGAACTGCGTGGCAGCGAGCGGCAGTTCTCGCGAGAGCCATCACCATGGCAGCGGCTGCTGCGGAGGCATCCGGGTGTTAGAACTGACGTCCGGGCGGGGCGATGTGGGGGCCGAAGGCCGTGGGCAATGGAAGCAGGAACCAGGGAATGAGGCTGAAGCAGCGAGGACTGTGGTGACAATACAAAGCTCCAGGGCCACACCTGAAATTTAAGGACTCGGGCCGCGTGCTGGCCACACTGGAGACGGGTTGAGCTGAGAGCCTGGGGCACCTTGGGCAAGGCCAGGAGCAGGGTGTGAGTGAACAGGCCTTGCTGGAGCCGCCTAACTCCTCCGGCTTCATCTGGACTAACCAGGGCTACAGCATCCCCCGGAGAGCGCTCCGACACCCGTGTTACTGCTCAGCACTTTGTTATTCAGGGGTCGGAATCAAGATATCTTTCCCCATAGGGGAGAGAAGGGAGAGTGATGAATTTAAGTGACCGAAGGAAACATCTGAACTCTGGGCCTGCTAGGACACTGGAATGTTGAAGGCTGAGATGTGGTTTGAGGAAGTGTACCTGGGTGGTTATGAATTTTAGCACCCCAAGGAAAGTGAGAGACTTTGCATCCATGTTCCTCTCTCTATTCCTGCCCACCCCCACTTCCCTCGCACTCATTTCAGTACCTGCAGGGTTGTGTTGGAACACTCAAGACTGTCATCAAAGAAAGGCACTAGCAATGCTAAGAACAGAAGAAGGTTCTTTAAGTGCCCTCGCTCTACATTGACAGCTATATAAGAGAACACACGGCTCTTCCCTAAGCCCTGAGCCAAAACTTGCTTTTCTGGATTTGGGGCCTTGTTTCTTGTATCCTGCCAAGAAGGAGTAGGCTGGTAGATAGCCACACTATGTCTACCTCCTACCCCATCGATCCCTGGTGTATGCATTCACCAGTCTCTTCCTCATATCCCAGTCTGTTTTCTTCCATATTTTAACCTAGAGAATAACCTGACCCTAGAATGTGAAGATGAGAGGATCCTACTTTAAGATGGTGAGGGATAAGATGGATAACAAGGAGCATGTTTATAACTAAGAGTTGTATCTGTCCTGAGCTGTTGCCCTTAAGGGCTCTTACCCTGCTACGTTTTATATTTTAAGAAGACTCCTCCAGTGTTATTACAGACTCCTAGAGTGGGTCATGTGATACCTCCACATAATTACTTTACTTTT